TAGCCAATTTAACAAACTACCAGTAATACCATAGCCAGTTAACTTTCGAATCAATATATCATGTTGGACCCGATCAAACGCTTTGCTAAAATCGATACATATTACGTCGACTTATTTTCTCGCATCAAGCACTTTAATTAGTCTTTGTATCAAATATTAGATCAATGTATCAAGTTAGTGCTCGTGGAGATTTAACGAAACCATGTTGGCTAGTGGTTAAGTAAAGATTGATATGTCTCTGAATAAAAGGACAAATAATTGACTCAAGTAATTTAGCGAAGACTGATAGTATAGAGATCCGTCTGTAATTTTTTTACATAATCCTCACTACTCTCTTTATGAACCGGAACGATTTTAGCTATTTTCCGTTCTGTAGAAATCTGCCCAGTACAAAGAGAAAGATCAAATATAATTAAAAGTGGATTAACAAGATATTCGGCACATCTGACTACAAACACTGGAGGGATTCCATCAGGACCTGTCTGAATGGTCATAAACATAACCCTGCTCAGTACATTCAGTATTCTCATAGTACACGGATGAAAAGTGTGAAGTAAAAAGTTCGCAAGTTTCCACTCCATCAGAATTTACTGTCGTTCCGTCAGTCGTTGATATAGGCGCCTGAACCACCACGTTGCTCCTTAACAAAGGACCAAAATAGTTTTGGGTTTTTTGCTATGTCACTCTCTATTAGCTTTATATACCTATTGTAGCAATTTGTGGCCATATGTGTACACCTTTTACTGAGCAATTGCAGTTCAAGCTCATCTCTGGCATTTTTATATTTCTTGAGACGACACCTAATTTTATACTTTTCTTTTAGCGTTCTAATTAGATTCCGATCAAACCAAGGTGGGTATTTGTCATTATTTGACGATTTATTGGGGAAATTAACATTACTAAATATAAAACACAAATCTCTTTTCGTGACGACATCGTAAGAACGAAATAACAGTAATAAAGGGAATGTAACAAAAAGATTACTAATAACAAAGAATATTATTAGACTAAATCTCGTGACCGTGATGCACGATGGCGCTCATAGAAAATGGCGCTGCCTCTTGAGCACAGAATGATAATACCTGTTGACGGTTGGCGCCATTTTCAATAAAATGGCTTCAAAATTTTTCGCGAAACGTTGTAAGAGGAAGCTTGTTTCCATACATTTTAAACTTAAAATTTACCAAGTTTCCTCCCCCTGGTCTAGTTAGACGTGGGCGTTATTTCACGTCACTAGTTACAATAACTGGCTACGCGGCATGTAACCGAATCACTAGTTTCGAGTCATATTACAAGTAGTGATTTTTGTAAATGCGTTATTACTGTTTACTGTGATTGTTGCGAGAGTCGACTGTCGGTCGGTTAAGCGCAAAGCGTACATGTGGCATACAACAATAAACAAAACAGCGTATGTAACATTATTATTGTACGTTTAATTTTCATACGTAAGACTATAGATATAGACAATATAAATAGAGTGATCTTTGTTTGTAAATAATTTCAACGGTTTGCAATTCCGGGAAGCGAAGTATTAAGTAAAATAATTTAGTTTGTTTTAGTTCATCGTTGTACTTGTTTATAATTTTGAATACTATCTTGTAAAAATTTACATTTATATGTCATTTTGGTGTTTTATGTACATATACATAACGTTTCTTTGTTATTATATTATATAAATATAATTAGTGTGGATTGTACAAGTTTAAATAAACTGTGAATATCAATAATCATTGTATATACAAACAAATTGACTTATAAATATCTATGCATTAATAATTTTATGAAAATCTTAGTTTCATAGTAAATACAAAACAATCATAAATACATTTAATGCAGTCAGTTCTAAGCCTGAATAAAGTATGAAGGGAAGTTAATTTATTGATTTAACTGTATAGCTAGAAACACTTAGATAGTGATTAAATTTATTTTCGTTTCGTGTGTAACTGTATAGTTCTTGGTGGTATTTATGCAAACAATCACAGTAGCCAAATAAAAATAGCCAGTTACAAAAATCACTAGTTTTGAAACAGGTGACGCCGACAAAGTCACAGGTTTCGTTACGTTTCTTGAAAATGACGTAACGACCCACGTCTAGGTCTAGTGTATCTGTTACTGTCAAGTGTCAATGTCAAAAGTTCCGTTTCAGGTATTAAGTAATTAGTGATTTATGAATATTTTTAGAAAATATTTTTAAATATTTCGACGCAGCTCCTGATCAGCTGATATACGATGTATCACCTTTATTGTCGCGCATGCGCAAATAATTGGCTTGAAAATGCCACGACAGTTTTTTTATTATTTATTTGTTAATTATTGAATATTTTTAAGAATTTGCACGCGGACAAATTAAAGTAGCCCAAGGGCAATTTTTTTACGCTTGGTGGAGTAAACAATAATAATTTTTCAAAGAGATATTACTATTTGAAATATAAGAAAATGAGAAATTCTATTTCGATTATTCCTGGGAAAACGAAAAACGGGCTTATAAAATATTTTACGTAGGTCGAAAGGGAAAATTAAGATCTATAAAATATTTTTTTTTATTTCGGAATTTTAATATTTGTAGGCCGGAACGTACCCGGTTTTGGCAGCTAAAATTGCATGGGGGCGCTTGCCCTCCACAGTGACAGACTCCTCAAATTTAGGCTACTTGATTCTAAACCCGACCCTTAAAGATTTTAGGTAACTAATTTTTAACTACATACTTGACTTAAAAACTGGTAATCCATGATACCAATAGACTATACCTTTTGTCACTTCCGATGGAATGATCTGGGGATAAATGCTTGCTGCATACTAAGATAATATAATCACTACGTTTTGGCTAAATATTTATTTATCTATGGATAAATGTATCTTTTTCACAAACCTGTGAGTCTACTGTTAGTTATAACCTCTTCCGTTGTAGGGAGGATTTGGCTCAATCGTCACGCAATGGCATATCGATTGAGATTGCTATGGTAGACGTTTCTATCGCCATCTGGCATGCTTAATGGCAAGCTGCCAAGTCGTTTCTGAATTTGTTAATTAATTGTACAACCTACTTTATAATGTGTATTGTAATGTTGCTTTGAAAAAGTCCCTCTGGGGGTTTTATCTGGTTTTTCTCAGCGCAGAGGCTTTTTACGAACCAGTGGTAAATAATAGATTACGAAGGTGAAAAACTTGTGTCGAAAGTGGCCAGGTGGACATCTTTAGGCTTCATATCTCTAGCAGATTTTCATAAGGTTGTCGTTAAAGATCGATAGTAAGATTTGAAGACTATAAAATAACATATGGGTTGCTTCATACTTATTTTACTCTATGCTTCATATGTTTTGACTAGTTTTGACTTGTTTTTTTACTATTTTAGAGGTTTAAAAAAAGGTTTACTTCTCCACCACGACGATGCTGTTTACGTACAGTTTCGGAATCATACTTTATGGTTTGTTGTTGTTGATTTTACTAAATAAAATATTTTATTTTGTTTAGTGTTAGTTTTTATTCACGTTTTAAGGTGGGTGTAATACAATATATAAATACTGTTTAATTGTACAAAAATAGTGAATAGAAAAATGAAACGTTAAAGATAAAATTTACTTGACATACCTAAGTAACTACCTTCAATTTAGTCTAGAACCTATCTAGGCTTATTTTTATATTATTTGAACATTATACTTACTTAAACGGTAACTTCTTACCCTGATTATACACTGGGTTTTTTTTATCCCTGACTTTCATCAAAAAAGGCTAAATACGTACCTACATTACAGGATTTTTAACTTACATTACTTATATCTCTCTATTGCTCAGAACTAAAAATGAATTATACGATACACGTGTTAGATTACATCTTTTTTATATTATTGGTTATATAAACAAATCAAAATACTTATAGATAAAAGTTTTATATTACATTGACTTCATGGACTAAAACATTCATTGTAAAAATGCATTTATTTTGTCATCATGGTTTTTTTTCAACTTTAACCCATCATGCTTTATCACAGCATATCGTTTGTGCAAAACGTAAATAAATGTTTTATTTGGTACAATCTACTAGTTAGTCTGTAGTTTTTATCGTTTTTTTTTAAATATTGTCAGTGTCGGTGACTACCATAGATATTGTTGTTGTTGGTACGATTCGCCAACCTCAGCAGGCAAAGGTCTTAGCACATGCAACTTCGTATGATTTGTAATTTGTTTTCAAAACTCTTAACATAATGCTGGAGCGTCACATTGAGAAGGTTTTGGAGGTTGTGATGAAAGATTAACCTAGCGGCCAATTGATAAGGGTAATATCTCAAGCCCCTTTAGCAGATAAAAAAACCTGAGATATATATCACCATCGAAGCACTTTTTACACCATTTTCATTAATAGCTCACATGAACAGATATTTAATACATAAAATTGCACCACTTTTACGTATCAAAATCCACTTCAAACTACGTTACGGAGTTTTGGCGGTCAAGTTCCCGCCGAAACTCCTTAACATAGTTAATTATATTCCGTGGTTAATACACATAGTGACAACTCCAAACTTATGGTACTTAGTTTTAATAACTTTGGAACTTTTTGGTGGGTATAGCTTATGTACTATAAATACTCGTTGAAATAGGAGTTCCGTTTCTATTATTATTTATTCTATGAATAGGATTAGGTTTCTGGCGTTAAATAAAAGCGCCATATGTTGTGCTTTTACAACGTTAATTTAAAAAATTTATTACATCCTTTGTATTTTGAGTTATATTGAATAATTTTGATATATACAGTAAAAGTGACTTCAAGGCATGCTATTTTGTCAACCTAATGTTTTATACGTCCATGAACATAAGACATTGCTATGACGTTTTGACTTGAATTAAAACTATAGAAAATTTTTAATGTTCTCCTAATTATCACTTGTAATTAGGTATTAGTTATTATTACAAGGCCAGTGCAAGGCCATAATCAAAAAAGAAAAAAATGGTCATTATGTACAGCTTTTAGACAGTTAACCAAAATTTATATGTTAGAAGATTTAATAGTGCGATCTTCTGCTCTTGTTGCGAGCGTGGTTGGCCAGACACAGGGCGAACACCACCGCCACCAGCTAAAAAGAAAAAAGATATTTTGAGACAAGAGCTTAACCAAAATTTCTAAACGCTTAACGCAATACCGATAAATAGTTGGTCTAATATTATTAAAAAATTCTATCCAAATCTGCTGCTGAATCAGGCCTCCCCAAAAAACAAATACGACAAAAGGTAGAAATGCCATCTAAAATGCTAGACAGGTAAAAGTAATAAATAGTAAAAGGCACATCCATTACAGGCTATCACGAGTTCACCGCTAAACATAGATCTCCCCCAAGGAATGTCAGAAAGCACGGAGTCCTGAGCCACCAGCAACCATCGACTTCTTATGTTTCTCACCAGGTCAATCCATCTAGTGGGTATCCGCCCTACAATTCGCTACAATACATTGCCGACTAGATAACTTTTCTTCCCTATTAGTTATTCGCTATTACCTATATGGTTCGTCTCTCGTATGTCACTTTTTCCCGCTTTAGTGACACTTCTAAAAGAAACAGACAGAAAATGTCACCTTCATACAAGTTTTGCAACACACGCAGACAAGCGCAGCATATGCTGAGTTTTATTCGATTTGTGTCGACATATTTTTGTATAATTTTTAAATAACCTACGAGTGACTGAGAGTGCGGAAGTTTTATACAAGCGTCTCGCAAAGCACACAAGCGCGGTATTCCTCTACAGTAGCATACAGTGGCATCGTTGCAAAAACACCTGCATTGGCCTTTCTTCCTTTTTTACCTGCGGACTTGGGATCTGCAATGAGAAAGATAATAAAGTCTAAGTGATATGAAATCTCACCTCAAAAGCGACGACAACAATGGCTAGCACGCCGATGGTAAGGCCGAAGGTTTCGAACAAATTCTGCACTTTCTTGTCGCAGCCGGAGTACGCGTTGACGACCGTACAAGGAGTGCCTGCGCAGCACGTCTCCGGTAACGTCACGGTCATGTACGAAAGCGGGCCGGTCGGACCGCAGCACTGGAACTGTTCGAGAAAAGATTAGAGTATTTTTTCACTTCCTGCTTTGGAAATTAAAAATTTTCAAAAGTAGGAATATATATATATATATATATATAATAAAGTGGCGCCGCCCTGGTGGCAGAAAAAGTTGTGGATAATATATTTGATAAATCTTGAGCTGTAAGTTAATGAACAGCTCAAGATTTATCAAATATATTTCTCTAATTCAGGCAGTATACGATATACTTACGTATTTTTCAAGTTCGTGGAATGCAGTCTGGTCTCTATTGAATGCTTCATTCAGGATTTTAGGAACTTCCGCCACTACAGCGTCCAAGTTTACGAAGATTAGACTGGCGAGTGTCACTTTCAGGATCATCAAAACTATCATAATGACGGCGTACTGGAAATTAAATACGTTTATTTATTCCTATTATCTATTTTATACGTCGTAGAGCCATGTTGCAGCTATATTATGGTTGTAGCACGAATGGGTCGGCTCGACCGGGGAAGGACCACGCACTCACAGAATACCAACGTAAAATAGCAGCTTAACGCTGTTGTGTTTCATATGGTGAGTGTAGATAACCGGAGACCCTTTTTACTGGAAACGAGGCATTCTTTCTTATTCCTCACGGGTGTCTGTGTGCCACAGCAACCACTTACCATCAGGTGGACTGTGTGCGCGTTTGTCACCCTTATCCTATAAAAACATATCATGAACTGTTTTGCGAGGCAATAATTTTTTTTTAAATGTCTTATATCATTTCCCTCTGCTTCATTTAGTAATTTCGCACATGATATAAGAATTTGTAAAATACACATACAGACAGTAAATAGCGTTATCTCTAATACCGCGCATTTAGCAATACTGTCTATTATGATTAGTTAGATAATTTAGTCTGTCAATTTTTTCAAAATGAGTGAATTACATACATTTTTCTACAATTCACTTTAAAAAAAATTTAAGTGACAATTCATTTCTAATCCTTTTATAAAATCGTAATAATAAGACAAGTTTTTATCAAAAATGCATAAAATTAAGTGACCTTTATTTCACTTCCAAATAACGTCATATAGGAGACTGAATAAAGTGAGGCCAATGACCACCTATTCACACAGGATATATAATAGCAGAGGGCACTATTGATTGAGATTAAGATTAGGAGGATTGTAAGGTCCTTGAGGGTGATATCTTTCGGTGTTTCGCAGGGTAGCATTTTCGGGCCTTCCTTCTTTCTCATATATAACTGATTTAACAGCTTTATGCTTTATCGCTGCTCTTGCTGAGAGTCGATGTGCTTTCGGAATATTAAAAACTAAACAAAAAAAATGTTTGTGGGTGCGATTCAGTGAATTATTGTAATTTACAGAATCTATTGTAACTCAAAAAAAGGAGGAACTTATTTAAAATGCAATTAAGTATCAAATGAAGTAAGTGTGGATACGATATCATTGATTCACCATCGAATATTTTTATAAGATGACAATTGCAATAATTTCGGTTTTTTTTTTTAAATTCAGTAAAAGTAAATTCAATATTTACTACAATCATAACAAACGAGAACAAAACGAGACTGAAAGAATAACAAAGCATAGACTAACTATCGGGTTTATATGCTTTTCGAGGCATCGGGCACATACCGCCAACTTCCTGACTCCAGGCTGCTACTGAGAATTCAAACACCCAATAACTGACTAGGCTAGACTGTAGAGGTAAGGTAAAGGGAAGCTATAAACTTACCGTGACTAACATGCAGTTGCTCTCCTTAATGGCACCACAGCAGCCGAAGAACGCGATCAGGAACACGATGCCACCAACTACCATAGCAGATATGGGAGCAACCTGGACATTTGTCTCCGCTATGGTCACCACCGTAGCGATCTGCAGTTGTACCGCAACACCCAGACCCAGAAGGGCCAGGCCCGCTAGCTGCAATAAAAATATTTTTTTTTTATTTATGTGAATATTCACATTGAGTAAAACTCTCTATATATATAAGTGATAGAGCCATGTTGCAACTATATTATAGTTGTAACACGAATGGGTCGGCTCGACTGGGGCGGGACCACGCTCTCACAAAATACCAGCGTAAAACAGCAGCTTAATGCTGCTGTGTTTCGTATGTTGAGTGTAGAGAATTGGAGACCCTTTCCACTGGTAACGAGGCATTCCATTTCAGTCCTGAGGGATGACTACTCATCTGCATTTTGATTCTGAATTGAGGATATAATATGTAAATATATATGGGCCACACCATCCACACTTACCATCACATGAACTGTGTGCTTGTTTGTCACCCGTATTCTATAGATAAAACTAATTTACGGGTACCATGTGGTGGCGCGCCTTTGTCACCCATTTCTTCCCGTGGGTGTCTTAAAGGTCGACTATGAAAAATGTAGAAAAGTCTTATGGTTATGAATAGATGCCGGTATAACCATATCGCTTACGTCAGACGTACAAGGCCATTGATTAAAACAGTAATCAAAAAACGCGACTGCGTTAGAATTCTGATAATAATCATTTTGATTAGAGAAACGTAATGATGATTGTCAAAGATCTATTCAATGATACCCCACTTGACATTGTTCGTAGACTTTAATTTTTTTCTTTTCACAATATTGCGTCTGGTTGTCACCATATTGAATTTTGATTACTGTCATCATGTCTTTCGTGACAGTTTTATAACTAACACAAATCGATTAACGTAAGAATCATCAAAATCGGTCAGCGCATTTGTTCTCTAGAACGCCACAAAGGAACAAAAATACATAGGTATGTACATATATAGACCGATTATCAGCCGCTGATAAGCACCCTCTTTCGTTTCACGCAAACGAGTAAAAATATCCGGACTGGAGACAGCCAGCATTGTGATAGTCGTGTTTTTATATTATACTATAAATTTATGGTCAAACGGCTCCATGGCGCAGTGGCTTAGCAATGAGTTGCTGCGCTGGGGGCCGCAGGTTCGAATCCCGCACTGAACAAGTATTTGTATGACCTACAAATAATTGTTCCGGGTCTGGATGTTTGTCTTTGTGCAATTTGTGTTTGTAAACTGCCTCCACGACACAGGAGAAAATCCTAGTGTGGGGATAACGTTTTTAAAAAAAAAACAAAAAGGTGCGGGACGTCTGGCCCAGCTATCGAAAAACCGCCTGCCAAACAAGCAGATTAAGGTAAACCTTCATTTCAAAGGGATAGGCTAGGGACTAGCAAGTAAGCTTTTGTAGGCTGATAACGAAGGAGAAGAAGATAGAAGAAATTTTAAGGCGAAACATATATAAAATAGTTAAATTGTCATATCTAATAGTTACTTGCTCTATGACAGCGTTAATTGAATTGTGCCAACACTGGTGTGTCTATTTATTAGTTTAATATGATAATGTTTTCCATTTTCATGGTTGTATCCAAGTTTTTTTATAGTAGAGCGGGCAAACGAGCATGCGGCACACCTGATGGTAAGTGAGCACTGCCGTCCATAAATAACTACAATACCAGGGGAATCGCAGGCCTTTTAAAAAAGAGTAGGCTCTTTTCTTGAAGGTCCCAAAGTCGAATCGGTCCGGAAAAATATCTGGCGTTAGTATCGATTCTATAAGGAAAAAATCTTGCAAATCGCACAGTGGTGGATCGCCAATCATCCAGATGGAATGGATGGTATCGCGAGTTTTGTCGGTACAGAGGAACAGTAGGTATTCTATGTGGGGCCGAACCTGTGCCTTGTAAAGTTGCAAGCGGTGTGCCGGCATGAAACACTGTAACGCTCTGCTGAGCACGTCAAGCTTTTTAGAGGTCAATTTGGCCTCTTCCAAGTGACCACGAAACTGCACTTCACTCATATGTCGACAACGAGAATTCCGACACTGGCTGAGGCAACAAGGTTCTTTTTAGCGGTAAATGCGCAAATCTGTGTCTTCTGGGGATCGAAGTGGACTAGATTTAGTCGCCTCCAATTCTAGACTTGGTTCAACAAAGACTCGACTTCAGACACAAGTTTGTTTTATTTTATATACTATTATATATATTTAACTATTCTACAAATATTACTATCACACGTCATTAGTAAAACGATGTCTGTCATATCTGATATTTTGGAACTTTTCCATATCTAACACTTTGTTTTGTGTATGTAATATATAAAATGACATACACTTATTTGTTAAAACACTAGTACTGCTCTGGTCTTATCTATACGTCTATACGTATAAATAAAATTGAAGTGTCTGATTGTGATATGGAAATAACTGCCTTTTAATTAACAGTTGGGGTTATTTTATTGTCTGTCTGTCTGGAGTAGCATTATTTATTATGCTGTGGTCTGGGTTAATCTTTGTATTGGCTGAACCTACCGTAAGGAAACATGACGAACAGATAGACGGCAATGCCAGGAGTAATCTAGGCTATATTTGATTCGATAAACTTGGAGATTTTTTAAAAATCTAAAAATTGATCCATCAAGTGATCTTTGATGATTATCTTACTCGTATATCTAAATAACGCCACATTAGTATGTATCACCCAGACTAAGCAGGGGCTGGTCGGTTATTTTTTTTTAAATATTTTTTATACTACTTAAGAGAACTCTGTTTTAAATCTTAAAATATGATCTAAGGTTTTAAATTGTGTAATATATGGTGTAGATACCATATATTACACAATTTGCAACAGTTGCAAATTTGCAACAGTTCCATATTGTAATATTGAATTATGATAACTATATGGGGATTTTTTTGACATTTTTTAACGGCCATTAGTTCTGTCACAGAATAAATAATAGTACTACGTTTCTGTTGTAAGCCATTAATTACCGGACAAACCGTAGAATGAGTAAACAGCATTTATCAGATCTAGAAAAATAATAAATGTTTTCCAAAAGCAATGCAACTTTAGCATAACTTTATTAACATCAGAATGTAGGTTAATGTTTAATTTAAATTTTTGTATTGTCCAAAATGCTTCGGAGCTAATATAATTTCATTATAATAAATCAAACTTACCGCAAAGATTAAGTTCACTATGAACAGTATATATTTAATGCAAGTTTGACCACAACCCATTTTAATTGTTTTTTTAAAAATTCAAATACGAAAATGGCGCGCTCGCGTCGGCAGTTTGATTCACTACTGACCAAAATGGCGGTCTCTGTTGACGATCGTTGCTTATCAGGACCCGATAAGCGGATAGCGTTCCTTGGAAATCGAGGCTAAAGCAGTTTCACCTTAAATTATGAGTAGTTAATATGACAAATTTTATTTATATCCTCGATGTACTTTGACTTTAGATTTTCTAACCTAAATTGTCGGACACTTGCACTCACAGGCTTAACTCAGATAAATGTCCTCCAAACCGAAATTCGGTCACGGGCAAGCCATTTGCGCAAGACAGGATTATAGTTACAGTGGTCGATTGTGTGGCCAAGCACAAGTCGACTCTTACCTCTCTCATAGTCCGATGAGACGGCAATCCGACACGACCGGAGAGAGATTCTATTCTATTCTAAATACGACATAGCTCTATGAGTGAATACGTGCCGTTTTGGGCCAAACTCTGCCTGAGTGTAAGACATGTGTTTTGAATCTCGTTTGTGAGAAGATGCTTTGCATATTACCTACGTCAGAAGGATATTATGAACCATTTCAACACCAACAAGATCAAGTGCAAAATATTAATTGTCCACGAAAAAATCAAACAACAAAAAAGTTTGACACTAATGAATTGATTTACTTTTTTTTGAGTTGTCAACAAACAATCTTCTAGAAATATGAGAATTTAATGTAATAGCGTCATGTAGTAATCTAATTTCACTTATAGAAATAATACTTTCTTCTTAAAAAATCTTTTAAGACGTAACTATATAGGTATATTTGTTATTTATTATAATAATTGAGTTGGTGACGTAAGAAGCGACATAGGGAAACAAACCAAGATTTTGATTTTGAACACCAGTTTCTAATAAAAATAAAATGCGGTTGGCAACATGGCTACCAAGCGTAGCAACTATGGAATAAACCCATATTGTACGGCAACGGTATCATAATTAAAAAAAAAAAAAACTAAACATACAAACGTTAATTAACATACAACTTTATTTCCCGCGTTACGTTACTATTAAAAAGTATCAAATTAATATTACATAATGTAGTTCTTTTTCTTCTTCTTAAAAACTGCCCCTAAAAGTCATATGCTGGTTTTGGGCATCTCTCGTCGTAGAACATTGAGTTATATGTACTACGTACTAGAGAAGCCATTCCGAACATTGACTATGTTCAACTGAACTGTAGTGCAATCCACACAAACTAAATATTGTTGAATTCCATAAAATAATTATTATTACAATTTATTTTGAAATATGTTTGTTTAGATTAAATTAAGATATTTTATATTAAATTCTTATATTTATTTTATATTAATATCTTATTTTATATTAAATTAAAGTCATCGCGCATGCGCGACTACTACTCCCGCGCATGCGCGAAGACATAGAGTAGGACACAATTTTTGTTTGGAATGGCTTCTCTAGTACGTAGTACATATAACTCAATGTTGTAGAAAGAATTTATCTTAATTGCCACACTTAGTAAACAGATCCAGACGTCTCGGACTCGTACAGATTTCCGTCTCAGATCTGTTTAGATAACAAATGTCGCGCGCACAGATGAAAGGACAATTTTGTGATTTAAAGTCTCGCGTAAACAAGATCGAGTGTCGAGTCATACCGACACGACATTTGCCAGCAGCAATGAGATCTTGCTGGCACATACCATAGTCATTAACCTTTTACGTGACTTTTTGGACTGCCGCGTTGATCTATGGTCGTAAACCCGATTGCTGGTTCGAATCCAAAGTCGGGCCGAAATCAGTTTTGCGCCTGATCTCTTTCCGACCGTGTCGAATTACCGTCCCATCGGACTACGACAGTTAAGGAATAGAGAGTGCACCTGTGTTTGTGCATACATTCGGTTCGGGCATTATAATCCCGTCCTCTGTAGATGGCTAGTCTACATTGCGACTGGCCGTCGTGACCGAAATTTGGTTTGGAGTACATTATTAGCCTTTTATAACATCAACGGGACGAAATGATGTGATGGTGATGGATTCCCAAAAGCTGTCACCACACAGCAATATAGCGTTACTGTTACAGCCTATTAAAATTCACTGCTGAACATAGGCCTCTCCCATACATTGCCTCATAGTGGAGATATTTGGCATAGTTTCCATGTTTGGCAAGCGGGTTGGCAACCGCAGTTTTTTTTTTTTAATCGTTATTAGGAAGACGCTGCTGCCCGTCTGAATGATATGGGAAAGTAGATAGTCTTACACCGCCACTAAACGGTAAACACAACAATATAATAAATAAATAAATAAAAATAAAAATGCCTTTTATTCCATGCCAAATAAGTTTTACAATAGAACTTTTTACAATATAATTTGCATTTTATAAATGAAAATGAAAAATATAATTTTAGATTATTTTTTTTTTAGATTTTAATACATTAATTTATTTTAATTAATTTTTCTTATTTAATTAAAATTGTTGAATGAATTTTGATTGAGTTAATTTATTTCATAATTCTGTGTATTACAATATAATATTAGGTAATTAATTAATTGATATCAAATACTAAATTGCGAATGTGTACAAACTTTGGTATTGTAGAATTTTACATTATTAATCGAAGATTGATCTTTTACATTGTATTCCTCTATGTAGTAAAGAGGCCAATGGCTGGATTAATATACGTTATAGGTATGATGCATTGAGTTATATGTACTGTGTAGTACATATAACTCAATGGTATGATGTCAACAATTTACGAATAACCGGCTAAGTGCGAGTAGGACTCGAATCGTTCCGTACCATCGTAAAACACGTTTCAAGTAGGACAGCCCCCTTTAATTTTTAATTTATTATTATTTTTATTATTTGCTGTTACAGCGGCAACAGAAATACACCTTCTGTGAAAATTTCAACTGTCTATCTATTACGGATCATGAGATACGGCCCGCTGACAGAAAGACGGAGGAACAGCGGAGGATTAGTAATAGGAACCGTAAAAAGGAAGTTACTATTTGGAATGTTTCCAAAAACGATATGGTTAATGAGAAAAATAAACTATATGTTTAAGAAAGCTGATCTTGGGCTGGTGGCCAATTAATGCCTGAAGTTGGTATTAGGCTCAGAAAGCTACACATATAAGCTATGGACTGAAGAATGATATGATTATTTTAAGAACGTATTGTTTCAAAGTCACGTCCGATTGAGTCATAATATGTGAATAAATATTTCCCTCTAAATATAATGAATCAATAACCGGAACAAGTTTGCTTGTAAAGTTACTTCAGCGCTGATAGCAAAAACTAGATAAGATGTGGTTGTAAATGTGACTCAATTGTAGGTACTTAGGTGTATGGGGCTTGTTATATTATCTTGGTCTTTGGTAGCAGAGCATATAAATAGCTGGCAATTTTTGGCAATAATTAGCAACACTTCGAAAAATCAACTTAAATAAACTAACTACACTACAGAATGCTAAAATCAACAACTCAATAATGAATCAACGTGGTAGAGCCATGCTGCAACTATATTAGTAGTATAGTTGTAGCACGAACGGGGAAGCATAACGCTGCTGTGTTTCGTATGGTGAGTGTAGAGAACCGGAGACCCTTTTTACTGGAAATGAGGCATTCCATCTTAGTCCTCACGAGTGACAACGCATCTGCATTTTTTTTCTTTTTTAAAAAACGTAACCTCCACACTAGGATTTTCTCCTGTATCGTGGGGGCAGTTTACAAACATAAATTGCACAAGGACAAACATCCAGACCCGGAACAATTATTTGTAGGCCATACAAATACTTTTTCCGTGTGGGATTCGAACCCGCGGCCCTTAGCGCTGCAACTCAATTGCTAAGCCACTGCGTCACGGAGCAATTTTGATTTGTAATAGAGGTTAGATGTAGATGTCTATGGGCCGCAGCAACCACTTACCATCAGGTGGACTGTGTGCTCGTTTGTCACCCTTATCCTATAAAAAAACTTTATATTAAGTACCTATATTAATATTATAAAATTTAATTATAAGAGTGCACATTAAATCCGCTTCTCTTTGAATTTGTCCAGTATCAGGCCTGCTGGAAGAAATTTTAATATGAAATATGCAGTGCCTTTGTACAAAATATCTTTATTTTTTATTTTTCATTGTAACATTACTTTGTGTGTACATAAATTGTTAAATAAATAAATATAATGTCAACTATCAAAATGGCGTCGACAAAGCAGCGCCCTTTTGACCCTTTATTATTTGATTGACTTATGAAGAGCTATCGTATCACAGAGCCATCTATGGAAACAAGGTTGTAGTTTTTGAGGTATAAGAAAGTGACCATATTAATCGGATGACCATATTACCCTCACGTACTATATTCCCTCTCACGGTAATCAGATACGACCGGAGAGAGATAAACTAGACCAGCGGTCTTACGTTCTTCAGGCACATGGGTAATACACCGCCAACTTCCTAACTCCTGCTCCTAGAAAATTTCTTGATAGAAAAACCTAATAACTGATTTTGGTCCGACCTGGGGTTCGAGCCCGGGATCACATGATGAGTAGTCGCCTTTACGTCTACTTGACCAACGTGGCAATCAGTCGGGTAGCGGAGTATAGCTATAATGTACGTTAGAAAATAATGGAAACGCAATTTATAATTGTTACAAAATTTACATGTCTCTTAAAACACTTACCGCAAAGAATAAGTTCGCGAAGAACAAGATATATTTAACTAAAAATTCACCGCAACCCATTTTGAATGATTTGCTTTATAATTAAAAAAAAAAACACAAAATGTGCGCACGCGTTGTGAGATCGATAACCACTAATAAAAACAAAATGGCCGTCAACGACGGTGGCCAGTTATCAGTACTAAATAGATAAGCTGATAGATAACGCCCTGAATTCCAGGTAAGTGCAGTTTTGCCGCAAATAATAAATGTTCGATAGTATTTAAGGCTCACACACCTTAGTACTTATAGGTACGAATATTTTTGAAAAAATAGCAATTCTTTCCACTGTGGGAGAGATCGAGTAGGGTACAGTTTAAGGGCTCAGTGGTGACCATGGAGTTGATGAATACAGGCGGCTCAGTAGCTGCCCACTCCTTCCTCTCTTCTCTCCTCTCTCGGAGACGTTATAATTTAGCATTGGAGTTTTGTTAAACTGCAATATTGATAGTCAATTATTAGGCTGCGTTTCCACCAGAGATGTGCGAGGATGCTTAGCGAGGGATATGTTTGTTAAGAACCAATAGAATCACTTCATTTACCTAGCCTCACTCAGCGCAGCGCAGCTCTCATACGTGGTAGAGCCATGCTGCAGCTATATTAATAGTATAGTTGTAGCACGAATGGGTCGGCTCGACCGGGGAAGGACCACGCTCTTACAGAATACCAGCGTGAAATAGCAGCTTAATGATGCTGTGTTTCGTATGGTGAGTGTAGAGAACCGGAGAACCTTTTTACTGGAAAAGGGGCATTCTATCTTAGTCCTCACGGCTGACAACGCATCTGCATTTTAATTCGCAAACTAAGATAGATGTAGTTGTCTATGGGCCACAGCAACCACTTACCATCAGGTAGACTGTGTGCTCGTTTATCACCCTTATTCTATAAAAAAAAACGGATCAGACGAGCGAGATTTTTGTATATACATAACAAGGGAAGGATGTGTACGAGAGCTGTGTTCTTTTCTTTTCTTCCCCACACTAGGATTTTCTAATGTACTCGTATTGTGGAGGCAGTTTACAAACACAAATTGCACAAGGACAAACATCCAGACCCGGAACAATTATTTATAGGCCATACAAATACTTGTTCCGTGTGGGATTCAAACCCGCGGCTCCCAGCGCAGCAACTCATTGCTAAGCCACTGCGCCACGAAACTGTCATGTTGCGAGGGATGTGTGCTAGGGAAGGATGCAAGAAGCAGCGGGCAAAGGCGCACGGACATCGCTCGCATCTGAAACGTGCTCACTACACATCCTCGCAACACTCATCTGCGTACCGTATCACAGCTTCGCTACACATCCTCGCACAGCCCAGTTACCTCGCACATCTCCGGTGGAAACGCAGCCTTAGACAGCATCAAGCTCATGCATCAAGCCCTAAAATCTTATAGAAAAACTGTCAATTTTTAATGTGATTGGATCACGTGGACTATAAATTATCTAATATTTTTTATATGATATATTCCGTAATAATTTACATTTGTGGAGTAACATTATTATATACATTAAGTTTTTAGCATTTTTCTAGGTTAAAGAGAGTTTAAACCTGAGGTTTAGATTTTGCTACTTCTTTTAGTTTTTTATGTATGAATGTTTTTTATGTGTGAAGAAACAATATTGATACGGCTGAATATATATTAAGTTTTAGCAGTTTTCTCAGTTCTAGAGTTTAGACTGAGGTTTAGACGGTCAAAGCAATTAAAGTTTTAATTTTTCCATACTATAAATATTAATTATGGAACCTTGTATTTTGTTTCGTCCGCCTGTTCTAATGTGTGCAAAAAGTTAGAGAATATTCTTTCGATTTCTCAGTTTTAAGATAAGAAAATAGAAGTATTATGTTTTTTATGTTTTCCCTGTATTCTTTATACTTTTTTTTATAGAATAAGGGAAAAATGAGCACACAGTCCACGTTAAAGTTATGGTAAGTAATGGCCCACATACACATATACATATATATATATACATACTTATCTATCCCCGATTAAGAATCAATATGCAGATGCGTTGTCACTTCTAAGGACTAATATTGTCACACCTGCCTCACAGAATACCGGCGTGAAGTGGAAGCTCTGCTTCCGCGTTTCGTCTGGTGAGTGCAGGTGACCGAAGGCCCAATCCCCCCCCCCCCCCCCCCCCTTCAACATGGTAGCGGAATTACACGAAAGACTACCCCAGGAGGGTACCAGCACCCCTGGAGAATCCCTCGCTGAGCATCTACGACCATGTTATTCCACTCCTGAGCGTGGGTGCTCAGGCTGCCCATGTATTCTGGGGTGGGGGGTGGGGGGGCAAAATTCCGCTCAACACAGTAACTGGTCGGGGCAAACTGAGCAACAAGACCAAGGCGACCCCTGCCACGCTATCCGTGAATTTCTTCAACATCAGGGGACTTCACTCGAACCTAAACGCCGTCCATTACCATCTGGAGACGGCGAAGCCGGCCTTGCTCTTTCTGACCGAGACGCAGGTGTCCTCTCCGGCTGATACTTCGTATCTCTCCTACCCGGGGTACAAATCGGAGCATTCCTTTGTGCCTCGAGCTGGAGTTTGCGTATACGTCAGAGAGGACATCTGTTCTCGACGCCTCGGCAGTCTTGAGGGTTCGGACCTGTCCATCCTTTGGCTACGCGTAGACAGCGACGACCATCCGTGCGTCTACGGGTGCCTCTATAGGTCCCATAGCGGTAATGCCGAAACAGACCGATTCATCGACCACGTCCAAATGGCTACAGATTCCTTGCTACAACAGGTCCTATCCGCAGAGATCGTGATCCTTGGCGATTTTAACGCCCACCACGCCGAATGGCTCGGTTCACGTTTAACCGATCATGCGGGGAGATCTGTTTATGACTTTGCCTTGGCATATGGTCTGACACAACTGGTTACATCGCCTACGCGGATTCCAGATGTTGAGGATCATACACCTTCCCTGTTGGACCTTCTGCTGACCTCTCATCCGGACGGATATCAGGCTTCCGTCGCTGCCCCTCTTGGCTCTTCGGACCATTGTCTGATCCGGAGTGTGGTGCCATTCACGCTCCCCTCGCGGTTGCGTTCTGCAGGTTGCCGCCGTGTTTGGCATTACAGGTCAGCGGATTGGGACGGAATGCGGTCTTTCTTTGCTTCCTACCCATGGGGGCGGGTTTGCTTCTCGCCGGATGTTCCCAGCGCTGTTGCTGACTCTGTCACTGATGTGGTGCTACAGGGAATGGAACTATTTATTCCATCATCTGTGGTACCCATCGGAGGCAGATCTCAGCCTTGGTTTGGTCGCTCCTGTAAGACTGCATTACGCAGTAAGCAGGAGTGTTATCAAGCCTGGGCTGCGGCTTCGGCGACTCGGAATGTAAACACCAGCATACTCAAAAAGAAGTATAACTTCGCCTCCAGGTCCTTCAAAAGAGTTATTGCCAAGGCAAAGTCAGAGCACATAGGCAGAATTGGCGAGAAACTAGTTCGCCTTCCTTCGGGAACCCGTGCATTCTGGTCTCTCGCCAAGGCTGTCCAAGGGAATTTCTGTAAGCCATCGCTACCATCTCTGCACAGGGAGGACGACTCACTAGCCCACGACGCAAAAGAGAAAGCTGACCTTTTAGGCTCCCTTTTTGCGTACAACTCGACTGTTGATGACAGGGGGAACACACTGCCGACCATCCCGCGGTGTGAGTGCTCCATGCCGGATGTGCGGTTCTCACAGCGCACGGTTCGCAGAGCACTCCTCTCCCTGGACATCCACAAGTCGAGTGGGCCTGATGGAATCCCACCAATTGTGCTGAGGACGTGTGCTCCGGAGTTGGCACCGGTCCTAACGCGTCTTTTCCGGTACTCCTACTCCCTAGGCGTAGTCCCGAAATCATGGAAGACAGTTTTTGTCCACCCGATCCCTAAAAAAGGCAACCGCTCAGACCCGTCCAACTACAGGCCTATCGCCATCACCTCCTTGTTCTCCAAAATAATGGAATCCGTTATAAACTGCCACCTCATGCGGTACCTTGAGGATCATCGGCTGATTAGTGACCTCCAACACGGATTTCGTCGGGGTCGATCAGCTGGTGATCTTCTAGTCTACTTAACTCATAGATGGGCGGAGGCAGTAAGAGTCCAAGGGGGAGGCATTGGCCGTTAGTTTGGACATTGCGAAGGCCTTCGATCAGGTTTGGCACAAAGCGCTTCTTTCGAAGCTCCCTTGCTATGGGCTTCCCGAGAAATTGTGCGATTGGATCACCAGCTTTCTTGCAGATCGAAGCATCAAGGTCGTTGTAGACGGTGCATGCTCCGACTACAAGCCTATTAACGCTGGTGTTCCACAAGGCTGTGTGCTATCACCAACGCTGTTTCTTCTGCATATCAATGATATGTTGCAAACTGGTAGCATTCATTGCTATGCGGATGACAGCACTGTTGATGCTCTATACACCGGCCGTGCCAATATTTCTCGGGAAAATGTCACCGAGTACCGGAACAAACTTATGTCTGAAGTCTAGTCTTTGCTGGACAAAGTCTCGGATTGGGGGCGACTAAATCTAGTCCAGTTTAATCCTCAGAAGACACAAGTTTGCGCGTTTACCGCAAAAAAGAACCCCTTTGACGTATCTCCTCAGTTTCAAGGTACTCCCCTTGTTGTCTCAGCCAGTATCGGAATCCTCGGTGTCGACATATCGAGTGACGTGTAGTTTGGTGGTCACTTGGAAGAGAGGGCCAAATTGGCCTCTAAAAAGCTTGGCGTGCTCAGCAGAGCGGGACAGTATTTCATGCCGGCACAACGCCTGCAACTTTACAAGGCGCAGGTTCGGCCTCACATGTAATACTGTTCCCAGCTCTGGGCAGGGTCTCCCCAGTGCCAGCTCCTTCCACTTGACCGCATCCAGCGCAGAGCGGCTCGAATCGTCGACGACCGAGTCCTTTCCGATCGGCTCGACTCACTGGCGCTGCGAAGAGATGTTGCATCTTTTTACTACGGGGGAGTGCTCTGAGAAATTGTTCGGATTAATCCCAGCCGCCAAATTTCACGAACGCCCA